AACCAATATACTACTTTCCAGAGCTGCAAGACATTACTTTGATGGATGAGGAAGTGGGAACAATATTATATTACAAGAGCTTGTACCCCTCCATTAAAATTGAATCTTGTTTGGAAACATTATTGGAGTTCTTGTTTAGAGTAAATCCAACATTGGTGCATCACAGAAACGATGTTATAGAGATGGCTAACCTTGTATATTGTGAATCCTTTTTTTGCTTTCGAAGGCCAAACTTATAAACAAAATGGGAGTTCAGATGGGAAGCCCAATTTCAGGGCTTTTATGTGAGCTTGTGGTTAGAAAAGTTGAAGAAAAAGTGGTGCATAGCTTCAGAAATGACATTGTTTACTACAAGAGATATGTAGATGATATCTTTATAACATGGAGAAGCAATCAAGAAATTAGTAATTTTATAGAAAGAACCGAGAACAAAGATGGCCTCAACCTGAAGCTAGAGCAGAAAAGTTCCATAATGATACATTTCTTAGATATTAACATCCTCGTTAGGAAAGGACATGTATCCACTAGTGTGTTCACAAAACCTATGCATAGCCCACTCTATGTCCTGGCAAGGTCCTATGACCCATATTGTTATAAACTAGCAGTCTTTCGTGCCTTGATTAGAAGGGCGTTTCTATATTGCAATAACATCATTGACAAGAATTAAAGAGATCGAAAGGATTATGCAGATAGCAGAAACCTTAGGTTATAAGAGAGGCTTTATTGCTGGTATTGTTAGAAAATTTGAGGTGAGCGATAAAAAAGTCTCCAGGCAGGGTCCTACTAAGTACACGAGGTTTACATTCAGCAAATATTTAGAAGGCATCATGAAGGATATTGCTTTAAAAATTCTACATTGGTATTGAAAAGAGCTCCAAATCTGTACAAGATTCTAAGAAATGATAAAAGGGATATTAAAAAAGATGATAAAGCATGAGTTTATAGGATTTCCTACAAGAACCAACAGTTAGGGATAAAAAAGGATTACATAGGAGTTACAATGATAAGGATCAGAGAACATAAGTATGATGATAGAAAAGGATCTAACACAATGATATTGGCCTAGATGGCTCAAGCCCAAGGATCTGTGGTTGGCTGGGAGGAAGCAGAAGTCGTCAGACAAGTACTCTCTCCAACTTTAGCGAAAACTGCCAAAAAAAATGGAAATATACAGGAGCAAACTTGGTTGAAAGATGCATTAATGCCAGAGATGTGGAGGGTCTTCCCTTAGCTTGGAAGTTTGCCATTAAAAAAACTTATGAGTAGCTCATGAACTGAAATACGATCCATAATCGCTTTAAAGGAAACTTAGTAACTTCTATTTGTTATGATGGATTGTATTAATGTTTAGCTATAATAGTATATTATTATTTTTACATTTATGTATCATGTATAGTTTTTATTCTTTTTAGTTGATATGTTATTGGTTTTTGAATTTTGAATGTGATGTTCCATTTTATGCTGTATTCCATTTTTTTTGGATGTTCTAACCTGATGATGATCTATTGAGTAGATCGAAAACATTCGTTTTTAATAAACTCCCTCAGCAACTAATAAGGTGTTGGTTACTGGAGTCAATATTATCTTCCTTTAAAACAACCATTTTATTTGGTTCCAAACAAAAAAAGGGTTTGTGAACAATTGAGAAAAAGATTAAAATGAATTTGGTTATATATCAAGAATGGGTGAGAAAAGCTTTTTCCTGTCTTCCTCTTCCTTGAGAATCACATTTCAGGACTTTTTATATACCTTCAGGAGATACTTTTAGAAGGATATAAAAAAACAAATTGTCTTGGATTACACACAGGAAAATTAAGCTGAAATCATTTTATGCTGGCTTTGTTAGATAATACAAGGATTACTGCAGCAATATCAAACATGCAACAATTCACACACATTAAATTCATTTATTCTGATAACTTTAGAATTTGTCTATACTGATGATAACTGTCTTTTGATAGGGGGACTTTATTAGAGAGCTTAAAGTCAGACCAATTAGGCTGACTTGAAGATCTATTATAATTCTTTTGATTACTGGTAATAGTAATTAATCTATTATTATTATTTTCCTGCTATGTTTCTCAAAACTGTCTTTAACAACAGTTAGCTTATAAGTGAAGTAAGAAATGTTAGTTTAAACTATTGTACAGTAGTGAATAATGATTAAAATAATTACAGTAATGTTTAAAGTATTGTGACTAATAACAACTGATGATTCATATTATCAGTCATATTTTTTTACATTTAGTCTAGATCAAATAGACACACATACTTGCGGGCTTATCACACCAGTCATATGTTGAGACTGACACTGCAAAAAAGACAACTTTATCTTCAAATAGACATTTTTAATGATAATGATAATTACTATAAGTGATATTTGTAAAGTGTATTTAATCAATCAGAATTAGCTTGTGCCAAAATATATGACATTAAACAATAGCAATTTTGATTATAATAAGCAGATTTTACTGTATAACTATTTTAAACTTATCAACAAATAATTTTTAAGATTATAGTTCCAGAATTTAGTTTTAAGTACATCTCTTCTGTTAGCTATTCAATCTTATAGATATCAGAAAGAATAGAATATTTGGTCTCCTTCACTTGTTTACCCAAAATATATCACTTCATTTATAGCATACCTTAGCATTCTTCAATTAACTAGTATAACATATTTGAGATTGGATTAATTAATATTTAGAATACTTGTCGCTTTTTAAAACTATATTATTGTAATTCTCTTATTTGTAATAGAGTAATTCTGACAATTTGTAGTAAAATAAATTTTTACTGTGTACGGTGTTATTAATAGTTTTCTTTTTAAAAACTATTAATAATGCCGTACACAGTAAAAATTTATTTTACTACTACTATTACTTGGCGTGAGTATAATACTAAAATTATACTAAGGTCTGGAAGTTTGATTATTATGAGTTATACTTGGTTTGAATAAGCATAAGTTAATAACTACTGCCAAAGTATTGGTTTATGCAATAAATTTAAAGAGAATTAGGCTATTAAATTTTATTAATGATAAACTAGAAAAAATTTTGCTTAATGTTATTAAGTAGCCACTGTCACAAACTTAACTTAATATGTTATCAGTTTTATTATATATATAAAAAATATTTCATTGATTAAATTATCATTAAAAATATGGAGAGATTTAATACCGTGTGTAAATTATCACATACAATCATTAATATATTATACTAATCATGACATATCATTTAGAGGATGTTGGATGTTTGATTATGCTACTTAACCTCCCCACTAGCTAGAAATGATATAAAACCAAGGACTTTGAAATTAATTTACTCCTCCCATAATTAAGATATTGAGACAAAAAGCATATTGAATGAACCAGATTGATGTACTGGACAAGATGGTAATCCAAAAAAATTTGGTGAAAATAATGGTTAACACTAGGTGCAGGAACAGCTGCATCCCGTCTTAAATCCGTCTCTGGTTATTTGCTTACAATATCAGACATCTGCCTACTCTATACCTTGGCTATTATCTTTCTTAGTTTCTATAATGAACACAGTTCTTGACACTCCACTCTTTTTAGGCCCCTTAATATTATCAGTTTTTTAAGTAAAAAGTTCAGAAAATCACTTATAAAAATTCAGAGAACAAAATAGAAATTAACTAGTGGAAAAAAGGTTGTATACAACTGTGAAAGTCTCGTTCTATAAACCACGTATAGATGCAGTTTTCTTTTCTCCGCTGTTCAGAGTGTCCATGTTCTCTGAACTTTACAATGCTATGCTCCAGACGAAACTCTTAATGAATCACTTTCTAACATTGATTGATATATTTTTTGATGTTAACATCTGTTGTTTCCTATAGAATGCCTGTTTTGCTTGGGCTGTTCTTGCTGTAACATCTCTTTTACTCCTTCCTTCTGAGGTAATTATGCTTCCTACCTCCTTGTTCATCTTTTTTAACCTCTTATGATTTTTGTTGTTTTTTGTATTTATTCTCATCCCACACCTTCTTTTAAATCTACACTATAGGAAATTAATTTTTTCAATAAATAAGTATTATTTAAAAAATTATGTAGTACAATGTATTATTCTGTAGTTAGCCAAACATTATTAAACTTATTGCTTTGATGAGAACGAAGAGTGAATAGTTAAAAAATGTTGACAGTTTTACTACAGATTATTTTTATTTCTCAGCTTCTGCGTATCAAAATCAGCCTTTCTTAACTATCAAGTGAACCTCATCTAAAATGTAAGATTGGCAAGTACTTAAAAAATGAAAATGGATACAAGATGTGGGAGAAATTTTTTTATTTTTTTTTTTATTTTTAAGAAAATGAATTTACTATTGTTATAAAAAAAAAATTAATATTTCGAAAGAGTTTATTTTTATTATGAATTATTCTTTATAGGAAGAAAAACATTTTAGAATTTTATTTGTAAATCCTTGTGAAATTCACAAATCTTAACTGAAGATGCTCAGAGAAAGCAGAAAATGTTTTATAAGGTGTTGGTAACCTTAACAGTGTTGAAGGACTTATTATATGTAAATGTAAAGTCAAAATAATTTAACATTTTCATTAGAATATTACTTCTGTGTTTAATTTTATTTCTTGTGAAAAAAATTTTTTTCCCTCCTTGGAATTATTTACTTAAATTTTCCTAAAACTTTGATAAATGAAATTAATAATCTCTATCAATCATTAATGATAATTCTTCTCCTGTATATATTTTGACATTTGTAGTAAACATTCATTCAAGGACACATCTGTTATGCAATCTTTTCAATGAAGAATTTTATGTAATCACATTTGTATTGAGTCATTTGAGTAATAAAAGTTAAACAATTGTACGTAATACAGACTTGAGTATATTTAGCTATTTAACTAAATTGTAAAGTACTTTTAAATTTTATGCTTGATTGTGATAAAATGAAACTAAATTGAGAGATTAAACATTTTACTGTTATTGTGACTGGAAGAAATTTTAAAAAATTATATTTTTATACAGTCGACCGTATGTCAGAAGATTGTGGAGAAACTCGGGCAAGATTCTATAGATCAACACCATCGAAGAGTGGTGTGTATAAGTCAGGACAGCTTTTATAACGAATTAACGGACGAAGACAAAGCTTTGGCGTTTAAAGGGATGTACAACTTTGATCATCCCGGTAACCATCCACTTAAAAATAATTGTTAAAATGAAAGTATATGTTTAACAATAACTGTAATATTAAATAAACTATTTGTAATTTAGATGCATTTGACAATGATCTGATCTACAAGACGCTGAAGGACATTTTAAATGAAAAGATTGTTCAAGTGCCAGTTTATGACTTTATCTCCAATTCGAGGCAAGTTAAAACATTGCCAGTATTTTAATCAATCTTAATATGTACGATATATTAAAATTAACAATTTAAAAACAAAATGGTTTAATTTCTTAAGCTAGCAAATGTTTATTTCTTAATTTCAGAGTATTCAATAATTACTACGTTGTCCTTCATTAGATTTTTTTTCAATGGTACTAGGAAGAAAGACGAATTCATCACGATCTATCCGGCAGATGTTGTGCTGTTCGAAGGAATCCTTATATTTTATTTCCAGAAGATTAGAGACCTTTTCCATATGAAACTTTTTGTTGATACTGATCCAGATACTAGGCTTTCCAGAAGAGGTAATTACAGAATTTTGCTTTAATTATGAACGATAATATCCCGATTTTCTAATATCTTAAATGTAATAACTGGATTTTTTGAGCTAGAATTGAGCTAATTATTAATTTGTCAAATCACAGAACTTAATTGTTTACTTTTAGACTAACAAGTAAGCCTTCATTCTGTACCAAGACTAATAATGAAAATTGGTTAACAAACAGGTTAATTGCTGCATTTTGGCACTGCAGCAGTTAATCCATGCAATTATATCATTTAATATAGTTAACTTGTGTCTGCCTTTCTTAATCCTAAGATAAGATGACAACCACCTTCTTTTAGGTCAAATTCTACAATTTAGCTTAATTTTAGTCCAAAAATAATTCAGCTTGTAAATCTTTGGCTATTTCAGTTTAATTTTATAATTTTCTTATAGTCTTAAGAGATACAAGAGAGAGGGGGAGGGAACTGGAACAGATTCTAAATCAATATACTAAGTTTGTCAAGCCAGCTTTTGAAGAATTTTGCTTGCCAGTAAGTAAATGGCATGTTGCATTTTTACGGTTTCTCGACTTCAATTAAGCAAATTCAGTTTTTCTGTCAAGTTTACTTTAACATGATATTTTCAGTCTAAGAAATATGCCGATGTTATCATTCCACGAGGTGCGGATAATGAAGGTACAATCTCATTTTATAAACATTTCTCTTCTAACTTGTTTTGTCATTTTAGTTGTCTCGTAATGTGAGTTTCTGCTTACCTGGAATTCCTGCCATTATTTGTTTTTGCATTTCATATTTATATTGCTTATAATAGATTAATAGTTAACAGCTGCTAAAAAAATTCCTCATGTCCCTTCTTTGAAACTCTGTTGCAGTTGCTATCGACCTTATAGCGAAGAACATCCAGGAACTGTTACGTCAATCCCACAACGGACTGCCATGTTGTCACCAGTGTAACTCGGATGCGCTTGTTAACACGCCGTCTCGCTAGTGCTCCATCCAGTCCTGCATGTCCCAGAATGTTTTTCTCCTATTTTTTATACTAAGTGCACTTGACGTTTGCTTTCAATGTGTTTTTCACCTGCTAGTAATTCTTTGGGTGTTAGCCTGTCAGAGCAAGTAAATATTGTTTTTGTTTGTTTATTTTTAGAAAGACAATCCCATTATCTTTCTTTCTGTGATATATAATTTACTATTGTATAACTCGTTGGTTTTTAGTGTTTTTTATATGTGCAAATTTTGTAATGTTAATGTTAAAAAAAACTGGCAGAAATTCCAGGTCGTCGGGCAAGACAGTCTGTGATGCACATTTTTTATTTTAAACCCACTTAGCCAGATTGGCTTAGTTACTTCAGAAATTCAATGATTCTTTACACAAATGCAATGAAATGTGGTTTAGATATTGGTATGCAAGTGCCTTATATTAAAATCCTTATACTTATACATAATTCTTTATGTATAAATATAGATTTATTTGTGGAAAATCAGTTGAAATCATGTACTTTTTGTGATATGCTAATTAAAATCAATTGCCATCAAATATAAAAAATAGTTTTTATTTTAACATACATCCGTGTTGCATATTCATTAATTACAAAATGAAGTTTAAGGGTATTTTAAAATAAGGATCATTGAATTTTTATTAGTAACGTATGTACAATAAATTTTCTTAATAAATTCAGTTAACGTCATTGACAAGAATAGTTTCTGTAACTTAATAGTAAGTATTAATGATTTGCTTATTGTTTTAGCATTTCTCATGACATGCACAAGAATTGCCTTTACTCATTTTCTAATTGTTTTTTCAGTTGCTATAGATTTGATTGTTCAGACGATTCAGGACCTGCTTCGTTGTCCGAACAAGACCATCAACAATTTTCGACGCGAAAAGAGAGTCAGACACTTCTCGGATTCCCAAACGAGCACTCGTCCACATTGACCGCACGTTATTTATTTTTTAATAGAATTAGAATTACTATATCCAAGATATTTTCAATTTCAATATATTTTAGATATACTTTTCAAATCTGTTTCGATTTTACGGTATGGCGACGTCATCGCAGACACAGGAGTCTCTTAAATTTTTGTATTTATATTAATGGTTATCAAACAAATGATTTGATAAGTACGAAATAAAATTATTCTGCATTTATTTACAGCAAACTTGTTCTCATTCTTATAAATTTCGGACTGCTCAAAATGAAAAAATGTATATGTTACTGCTAAAGTTTGAAAGTCATTAATGTGTACATTACCTACTAGGCACTTGGTAAAGTGAAAATAATATATTTAAAAGTTTTACATTGATTTCTGTTTTTGGCTGTGGGGACATAAAATTGCTGTAAACTCACCCTGTTCTTTTAAATTTCAGACGAAATGCACAATCGAAATGAAAAATTTATTAAACTAAAAAGATATTTTACATATATAAAAATACAGTTTTGATTGGTATATATACAATGATAAAGATGAGGTTTATCAAACTGCACTTTAGACAGTCTCTATGATTTCCTTGATGTAAGACTTTCCAACTTTTTCCAACAATGAAGGTAAATAACAACAATATAAGTATGTAATTATATCTGAAAATACAAAAATTTAAGTAAAATGAAAATATAGATGGGCAAATGCACTTATTTGTATTTCAAAATTTGCTTACCTTCAAAATCCTTATTTTGATAACCTGGTACTTTTTGTTTAAAGTGTAACCATTTTTGTTTCAAATGTGCATATGATGCAACACTGCAAGGGAGAAATGATTAGTTTTCTTTCCTTTAAGCATGCTATTTAAGAAAAGAGAAACGCCTACTTGTCAAATTCGGAGGCCAGCGCATCCCAGTCGATGTCTTTCTCGTTATCTGTTGATAGTCTATAAAGACTGAAATAACAGGAATATAATATTTAACATTTGTAATATGTTACATTAACAATGAGCAATTTTATATAATTTTAATTAATTTCAAATTCAACGAATACTTTTTAGATTCATTATATGCTTATTTTATACATTAGAAAATTTATAGGAAAAATGCTAGTCAATACATGTTGTCATAACACACTTTACATAGGGCCAGCTCTTGATTCAATGGTAAACATTTCATTGCAGACATACATAGGTTTTAGATCTCAACTGCAGTTTAAAAACTTGTCGAGGTCACAGATCACAAAAAACTGCATTTCATGAATGAAATTGATGACCTCAGTGAAGTCTAAGATCAGTAACTGGTTGTTTGAAGAGAAAGCCATGATCTAAACTTGCCACCAGGCAAGTTCAGACCATGGTTTTCTCTTAGCAATTATCATTTCTAAAACAAGATCAATTTTGTTTCCTCAGTTGTTATCAAAAACATTTGATTAAAACACTAATAACAGAAATTATTTGTGTGACAGAGAAATGATAATCATATGGACAACTACATAAAAGATAATGAGAGATCTAAATATTTTAGAATTATATTCTGATCAAGAGTCTTAAATTCAATGTGCATATTGTGAAGGAGAAAACAGCTGTTCCACAGTTATCAATAATCAAAAATTAGACTAAAAATTTGTTTTCTTGAGAGAATTTTTAATGCTACTCTTATATATAGTAAAATTAAAATAATTATTTTTTAACTTTTGTTGCAGAATAATTGTATTAACTGGCAGAGCGAGACAAATTAGAGCTTTGTTTTATCTTTTCTTTGGCAAAGCGGGTTAGTGTAGATGGTTAAGCTAAGCAAGCAAACAAATAATTTAGCAAAGGAGAGACCACAACCACTAAATAGAACATATAAAATAATAATAGTAGTCCTCTATAAAATATTGATTACAAAAACAACCTAAAATCATCACTGAATAAGTAACAATTTTTTTATAATTCAGAGGATACATGAACAAATGTCTTACCTTTTGTACAAAATTTGAATAAAATAATTCAAAAATAAAACAGGCTGACTATTAATTTAATTTAGACAAGATCGACAAATTAATTCAGTGAAAACATATTATCCTTCTTTTTTGAAGTTCCTTTATGTCTTCCATTGTTTGTGTGACATAATGAAACAATTTGTACAAGTGGTTCACCAACATTAAAAAGTGGATTAACAGCAGTAAACTTAGTAGCCAAATTTTTTCAGCAGTTTATTTAGACTGCTTCAAAGACAATTAAGTTTTGTGGATTATAACAATTATAATAGAATTTGCTATATATAAACACAGCATAGCTAATCACCAAATAAATATTTATCCAAACTGTCTTAATCAATTTCAGATTAAAAACTTATCACCCATTGTATTCATAATTAACAAACTGTTCCATGACTTTGTTCTCTATCTGAATTGTTCGTTAACTGATTATCGATTTACCATAGGTTTTTATGGGAATTTGATTAATTCGTTCTGGAGAGTCCCAAAAATAAAAAATGTAAACGTAGTAAGAAAATATATATGTAATAATAAAAATACATATACAGGGATTACCTGTATAACATGGGAGTTATGTGAATCCGTATTATATGAAACAAAGAACTGGTATGAAAAGTGGGATAAGGTTCTCAAAATTAAAAAACATGCATATCTTAATTTTCTTACGAAAATATAATAGCATCACTTTGTTTAATTTTAATAAAGATATTTATTAATATAAATTGTTTTTTTCATCACTAAACACTATTAACCGAGGGCATTTTCTTTTTGGCAAGATATCCTTATCCTCAGAGCATGGATCTGAAGATGATGCAGAAAAATACTCAATCTTTTGCAAAAAATATGCTATTTTATAAAGATCTTTTAACTAAAAGCAAGCAATCTAAATTTCCTTATATGATGCTAAGCACTTATGAAGAATAAAGCAACTACAGAATAAGGGAAAAATATCTGGCAACACAAACAAGTTTTGAGAAGGATCGCGTGTATCGACAAAGGCGGGAAAAGAAAATTTACATAAGTACAGTCATAAGTACATGAGCCGTTCACAGCCCGGCACAAGTATTTGTAAAATCTAAGTGACTCATACAACATGGAACTCATATAAAATGGAATTATCAACAGTGTTATAGAAGGGGTTGACTGTACTAAGTACTAACAGTTCATGAACTATTAGTATTTGAATGTAATAAATTTTCACATACAGTGGAACCTCGGTATACGACCTTAATCCGTTCCCGATGTTTGGATGTATACCAAACCAACCTTTTCCATAAGAAGTAATATAAAAATGATTAATCCGTTCTCATGAAAAAAATGGCTGGCTTTAAACACATCGCTTTCCTGGCTAGTTCCTGCTTGATTTTTCATGAGATCAATGTGTATCTTTTTAGCTTTCTCGCAAATAATTTTTTCCGATACGCTGTCTCCAGCACTGTTTTTCAGTTATCCAAAGCGAAAGCAATTTCTCGACATGATCTAATGTCTTTGATCTCTGTTTAGAAATTGATTTAACCCCTTTCGCAACGTTAGCAGATTTAATAACGTCTTTATTTTTCACGATTGTCCATATCGTTGTTCTCAGAATACAGTAGGCAACAGTTAAAATCTCAAACACCCATCCCACCTTCGTATTTCTCAACAATCTCTTATCAGTTCCATTGTAATTCTAGTCATTTTTTTTAGTTTTCTGTTGCTTTTCATTTGCCTTTTTGCGATTCGTGATTAATAAAAATAATAAAATTTTACTTACAAATTAAAATCAGAAGAAATTTAACAAAGTTATAAACCGATGCACCGCGAACATCTAGTCTGGTCTAGTACACCGATAGTGCTACTTGTTCATTGATGGCGCGTATAATTAAATTATGTTGTATACCGTGCAAAATTTGTTTCGTCCAAACAGGACGTATTCTAAAGCAGACGTATACTGAGGTACCACTGTACTTATGTTGTGCGAGGAATTTACCCAATTCTCAAACCATGTTAGAGTAAATCCATGCTACAAAGTGCTGTGTTATACAGGGGTTACCTATATATGCAGTCTTACATTTTTATTAGTCATGATTTTTCCATTTGTGGGGTTAAAGAATCTGTCTAATGTTGATTTCTTTTCTCTCTTCTTCAGGATTTTTCAGAATTAATTAATAGCATTTAATTGTAGAGATCCCCCAAGCCTATTAAAAACCTGGTTTGGAGCCATTCTAAGACTGTTGTTCTGACATCCTCCCACTTCTTCAAAAGATGTTTAATAGCAGATATTGGATTAATCCTCTTTTTCAGAAGAAAACATATCTTGCCTAGTTTCTTGATGTTCTTCATTAGAGTTCTTGGTGGTCTTCTGTCGTCAGATCAGTTTCAGGTTCCATTATGAGCTCTTCAATGTTCTTTATTTCTCAGATGTGATTTTTGTTATTCCTTTAGCTGCTTGAGTCTTTTTGATTATACTGTATCTTTCTTAGATAAGATTGAACTGCAGCCTACTCTAGACATGTTCAAGCCATACTGCCCAGCAACATCATACATCTGCCCACTCTCTACCTTTGCAATTATACTCTCTTCTTTTGAAAATAAAAACCAACGCAAAACTTAATGAGTGCCCGCCTAACAGTCTCGGGAATACAGTAGAGCGTCGTTTATCTGAATCAATTGGGGACTGGGGTTGTTCGGATAACCGATTATGTACGGAAAAATATATTAACTTATCCCATGTTGAAATTTTTCTCCATTGCTAAGCCTAACGAAAATTTTTTTAATAATAATCGTGGCTATTGTATCGTTAAAAATTATTTTTTTATTTTGTACAAACAAAATAAATATATTGAAAAATATAAAAACAAAAAAAAATGTATACTTTAGAAGTTATCTAGTATCAAAAACGCTTGATTCAGCATGACACACAGTCCTCGGAAAAACACCACACAAAAGTGACAGTGCTGCCAACTAAAACACATACACAAANTATTGAAAAATATAAAAACAAAAAAAAATGTATACTTTAGAAGTTAATCTAGTATCAAAAATGTTCGATTCAGCATGACACACAAAAGTGCTGGTGCTGCCAGCTAAAACACACACACACACCAACAAAAAAAAATGGAGTAGCCCAAGATATAGCCAAAAGTTGCAGTGCCACAGCACTAGCGGAAATTTAAATTCGCTGACTGGAACACTTTCGGTTGACCCGGCTTTTGGATAAATGATGCTCTACTGTACTATAAAAATATTCTTTCTGTCAGAAAAATAAAAGACTGCAATTACAAGGGAGAGTTTCAAAGTTTGGAGGAATACTATCCAATCAGTATATACCGAGTTGAGCGTCGATGTCAACATCTCCCATGCTCTGAAAAGTTTCAAATTGTTGCCTGAAGAAAAGGGAGACAATTCATTATTTTACGCTGCTTCTTTGTTTGTTCTGTGAGATGTTCGTTGTCTGAACATAAAAATCTTTCACAAAAGTGTTCATTAACTGATCACCCTCTGTATATTAATAAAAGATTTATTTGGTATCAACATTTATCCAATTGTGGTCTATCAAATAAGGGAGAATTGATTGATTGAAAATTTCAGACAACTTGGTATGGTCTGAAAGAGTCAGGCTAGTGTAACTGGGAATGTATTTGTATAACAATATGCAAAAGTAACAGATTATTCCCACTCTAGAATAAATTAAACATGTTTCCCTACTTACAAATGGGTTAGGTTTCCAAGATTTTGTTGAAAGTCAAAAACTAACCTAGAAAGTAGATTTGTACACAGAATAAAGATTTATTGTTAAGGTTTGATCCTTCAATGTACTGTACTTAATACAATATGTTATGCACATTTACTGCTTAGTAGCAGACGTTTCAAACACATTTTTTTACAATGCATTTAGTTTTATAATGTCCAGTTTAATTTCCATGGTAATAGAGCAACACTTCTTGCATTTATTTCCACTGCTACTATTATGTTTTGGACGTATTTTGAAACATTAATTGTAAAACTTTATAAAAATTGCAAACAGCAATATGGAGTTTTCTGGGTTTTCTTCATATGTCTAACACCTAAATAGAGGCCAGTGTCCCATAGAAAATCCTCTCTGGTGGCATTCCTCATTGGCAGATTGTACAAGTATTGCATTGCCTTCGTAACAGTGAAAAACGCTGTTACTCCAACTTTACCAACTTTGACACCATGTCACAAGTAGTAATAAAACCTCAGAATTCACACAAAAATGACAATACACAATAGAAATAATTCAACATAAATAATAAATTACTGGCCAAAGACTGACTTCAACATGTAGATTTTTTAATAGAAAACTATTTATTCAAGAAGTTATGTTCAAATCATAGGGTGACGAATCAATATCATATTGTGTTATTGCCTGAAGATTTCAAACAAGTCTCAACAGAATCTCAAATGTATAGATCAGGGTCATCCAACTATTATTATATATTACCCTATATCCAAACTTTAAATATTTGATTCCATATCATATATGTAGTGAAAAAAACCATTTTATTCCAAAATAACATATAAATAATAAATCATGAAAAGTAGCCACTAACATTTATAACATTGCACTTAAGTTATAAACAAGCTCCCAACATTAAATTGTACTTTAGGTAATCTTTATATAAATTGCTGTTAAGAAAAAATAAAGTAAATTTTTAAGTAATATAAATTACATACTGATAGATTAAGCGAACCGTGTCAGTGTCTTTCCACCTCTCTCTTGGTTTATCGTTATTTATTTTCCAACAGGTATTCAACAGCCTAAAATATATATTAATTATTTAATTTAATGATCAAGTATTTTAGAATAAATGATTATCAATAATAATTTTCTTACCAATGCTGACGGCACTGATTTGAATTTCTAGAAGGAACTAATTTGGCAACTTCTTCCCATTGAATTCCGTAGTAAACACCTGCAACATCATTAACTTGAAGAACATTTTTAACGGCTTCGATTAAATTTTCTTCCTCCTCTGCTGACCAATGTCCTTTAACTATATTAAAATATTTTAAATCTTATTTCTTTATTATTTAAAATCAAAAAAATTTTTTTTTAATTTAAAAAAATAAAAACAATGTATCTACTGGATTTTATTGGAAAGCTACTGTAAAAAGATGGAGTAATTAAATTTATAGGATGATTCAAAAGTCTGCATACAAGAATACAGACCATCTGAAGAAGCACATTTGCAATGCATTTTTTGCATATTAAAACAGATGTAGCGTGCATTCACCACAAACAAAAGAAGTGTTTAACTGAATGTGCATATGAACCTCACTCATGCGTATTGTACTTTTTAACTTATAGGTAACTGCATAACAACAAAATTCTGGAATCACTCTGTATTATAATTAATATGTTTGAAACAGTATGAAATAAGTTTTTGATTGAGACAGATATTGCTAAAATTTTGTGATTTAAGATCTATATTAAGTTGGTCAAATAATCCAGCCAACATTATTAAATATAATTTCACATTAATTCCTCTGATCATGATTCCAATGTACAATTTTAAGAAAAATTATATCATTATCATAATAACGTAAAGTATATATAACCTGCATTCTTCCTGTGCCATCGGATTATTTCGCTAATATTTTTTCCATCTCGATTAACCATGTGTCCAATTTTTGTCCACTTATCTCCATAAACAGATACTAGGGCCTGTAAGTCTTCCACTTCATCTCTTGATGTTCTGAAAAAATAAAAATTTTCTGATTTCATCAATTTTTTTATACTATATATAAGATTTTAAATGTTTAAAATTATTTTCTCAACATTAATAGTTGTTCTTTTTTCACAAAGCTAAAAGACTTTTTGGACAAGGGTAATTTTAAAAAATTTAGTATTAAAGTTCAAAAATTTTGTTGCTTACTACTTATTAACAGATTTGTTTAAAAAAAATAACAAATACCAATTACTTTATATGCTATCTTAAATGTATTAAAAACATTTTGATAAAAGTAGATTCAAATCAATTTTCTAAAAATTCAAAATAAACTTTTACAGTATTATTGTCTATGCTAAAAGATAATGATATACAAAAACATACCTTATTGACTTTCATTAGTGAGTTTAATACAATAAAAAGGTTTTTGACCTATTCATCACTCTTCCTCAGAATCTACAGAAATGGAATAAACTAACAAACTGAATACAAATATTGTTATATACTGTTCGTATTACTTCATATTTACGATTTTGTTATCCAAGATAAACTTACGATGAAAACTATCCAAAATGTTGGATACTTCAATAACACTTGGTGAATGAAAAGTTATAAAATTGGCTCCCTGAATTGGATAGAATTAACCTAGTGATCAGATTTATGAATCTCTGATTTAGAGAAAGTTCTAAAACTTGTTTAAGAGCTAATAGCTTTTAAAATAGTACAAATTCAGAAAAATGGCATTGAATGCAATAAAAACTTTAATTTTCAGGATTCAAATAAATGATATGATAAAAAATAAAAATAACTAAGTCATATAACATTTCTTATTTCAAACTTGCAAAGGAAAAATCTGAGAAAAACAACAGTCAACTTGCCTTAAAATGAACACTAATAAAGTGAATTCTCAGAAAAGCAAATTTTTGCCATTGCCCTGGCAAAAGTCCATTACCCAAAGTTAAAAATCAAATAACGAATAATTCATATTTTTTTTATTCCAATGAAACCGTGTTGTTTATTTTACTTTGCTTTTCATAGACACAATGTAGTGACACTTTTCAAACACTAGGCAGATTATTCATCTTTTATTCTGTTGGGACGCTAATTACAAGACAACGTTTTTGGCCCCAGCCCCTCTTCAGCCAACTAAACAATAAAATCAAACACGAGAAGAATGTACATATAAACACTATGCACTATGTAGATATATCTACATAGTACATTCTTCTCATGTTTGATTTTATTGTTTAGTTGGCTGAAGAGGGGCTGGAGCCCAAAATGCATCTTGTAATTAGCGTCCCAACCAAATAAAAGATGAATAATCTGCCTAGTATTTGAAAAGTGTCACTACATTGTGTCTATGAAAAAAAAATGAATAATTCATGTTAAGTTTCCTTATATAAATAAATTATTTGAAAAATATAAATCAGTTTAAGAAATTTTCTGTGTGTGTAGTGGCAGAACAAAAAAATATGATGATGAATGTAATTAATGTTATAAATAATGAAGACCAGAATACATCAAAAAACCAACTTGAAGTCGCACGTGTCGTACTTGTCCAAGACCGAAACTTTATATAGGAGAAACAGGAAAGAAGTTGGAGACACCATTAAAAGAACATGAAACTGCTATTAAGTTAAAAAGACAAAAATCACCATGGTGTCTACATTGTAATAAGTTTAGTTGTAAAATAGATTATATAATATTTTAACATTATTCCTAAGTAAAAAATTGTTTTAAAAGAATAATAATAGAACATTTTTGTATTGTAACTAGTGATGTGCTGGATATCCGTATCCACGAATATCCGAGGGAAAAAAAATCCGTATCTGTTACTTTTTAGCAGATCTTTAACAGATCTTTTATCTTAATGAATTTCATTACTTATATGAAATTTTAAAGATAGGTAGCAATAAAATACTAATAACTTCAAATCACTTATTATTTCTTAAAATCACATATTTGGCACATTCACATTGCAAAAATTTTATCATGCAAAATTCATTTACTATCGTAAAATATTTCCATATTACACTACTAAACATTTTTGTCGACATTGTTTTTATTTTAATTTAATACAAATTTAATTTAATTTAACAAATACAAAATGTAACACTCTCCAAAAATACAAACGTAATCTATGCTATTCCATGTCACACTAAACTATAAACAAAAACATGCGCAGTGCAAGTCAAAACATGTCGCGTTACTAACACAAAGCGTAAACTATCGGTCCAAGGTCACGCACCGGTGCCAACTGAGTAAAAAAGTTGAGATCTGTATCCGTATCCATGGATCTAGACACTAATGATCCATATCTGTATCCACGGATATACATTTTTAACGATCCGGCACATCACTAACTGTAACGTATGCAAATGTGATAAATCTGAATACCGGGATGAATGTAGATGCATGCTGGGAAAAAAAATCACACAGCATAAAAGGAACAGAAATTGTTAAAGTTCATTATGCCCACTGATGAGACTTTATTGTAAGCGAAATCCATTTGGATTTTATGAACATGAAGTAATTAAAGTTTAGTATTTCTTCGTTATTTGTTTGTCTGCTAAAATGAATCACTTAAAATCAAAAAATTTTATAAAGTAATATTGTGAGAAATTTACAAAAATTGCCTGAGATATTAAGAAAAAACTTGTAGTTAGGCACTAATGTTAGTAATGTTAATTGGGAAATTCTAGATACAGTATTCAACATGTTTCTTAGCTTCAACTTACTAAAAAATTTGCTTAAGAAGGAAATTGAGAATGAGGACAAACCACAGAATGTTGGAAACTTCAGATAGATTTTCCTTTCACTTAACACATTAAGTGCCACAATAGAGGGACATAAAATATCACACTGGGCCACAATCTTTTTGTGTGTACAAAATAGCACAAAAATTATGTCCTTTTAATATAATTTTGTTTTCATTGTTGAAAAACATTTTTTTCCTCAATTTTTTTAGCATGTTGCAGAAATGCAACATGGCCTGAATGTTTTCTGATCATGTTATGCCAATTTTATGCTCATCAAGTTCTAAATTCAACAGAATGTCTACCACATAAATGAATAAATTCTAGGTTGTATAAATGGGCCAATGGAAAGTCTAAAAAATATATAAAATAATCACTATTCTACTCAATGTTAATATAATAAAATAACATAATAAATAAAATAATATTAACATTGTTACTGGTGATTGGACGTGGCAAGTAAAGAAGATATTTTTATTATCTGTTTACATGTTTTTACAAACTATCCTCCACAGCAGACATGATGAGTAAAGAAGATATTTTTATTATCTGTTTAAGTGTTTTTACAACGTTAATACTGTATTTCTGCCAGCCCTATTTTACAAACTCAATTAATATATTTACTGTTTTCATTCATTAAAAGAAAATATTGTTTCTTGAAAATTTATTTTTGTGCTTTATCTACTATATAAAGCTGAAAATCCGGATTCTTTCTGTCACTGTATGCCAAAAATAGCCACTAGGAGCACCCCTAGCTATTATTTAAATTAACAATATAAATTATTTTATATTTTTACAGTATAATATTCAGCATATTATTATTTTTATTTGTATTTTAGTATTCTCTGATGCCTGCATCAGGCCTTTTGACTGGTATTTTCATAATATTGTACTTGTCTGCTAAAATGAATCACTTAAAATCAAAAAATTTTAAGTGATTCACACCTTCATTGTACAAGAAAAACATTAGAAAAAACAAATTTTGCATATTTCCCATATTTTATAGGGAAAAAAATTAAATTTCAATTAGCATTATATCATTAAAAAATTTACTGGGCCAAGTGTAATTTCTATTTCTACAGGCCATGCTCTAAGTAAGATAGCACAGATTTCAATGTATAGCATGTGTTGCATTTCTGCAACACATGGCACTTAATGTTTTAATGTGTTAGTATATGATGTAATTTTCTACATATTCCTATACCTACAAAACAGAAAAATTTAGTACAGAATTACATTTCCTATTTTTCACCATTACATGCATTAAAATGAAGATTTTATGCATAAATATTAGTGACAAGTATACGGTAACTTTCAGTCAAAAATACAATATAAATATTTATTCCATTAAACAAAGTACGAAAAATAAAATAATTTCTAAATTTACCCAACCCATCCTTTCTTGTTTTCATCTCTGTAAGGATGAAACAATTTTCTTGCTCTCAAATAACAACTGTGAATTGTTCTATTGTTGAGATCTTCGGCTAAAAGGAAAATGATACCTTATATTAATAACAATAATTATTTACTATAATTATCAGGGGTCGCTCTGAAAATTTTTAAAAACTGCCAACCATTTTGCCAGTTTAAAATTATTTTTTGCCACCAGCTTTACTTATTAATCAATGTAGATGCTGATAGCCTTATCAGTTTGGAGTCTGGAAAACAAAGGTAACATGTTAAGCCATCATTTAGAAATAGGAATCATTTTTGAGTAATTTTTTAATGACTAATTCCAAATAACGCATTTGATCATAAAGCTTAAATGGTATTTCACATGTTCTGTCATGTCAAAATTTTTATGCTTTAGTCTACTGAAAAAAGATCAAAGTGAAAAAAATGTCACTCCAAAAACTTTCCCAAATTTGCTGTCAGTCAATAAAAATCCCCAATTTGGAAATGCTGGGTGGCACTGCACGAAAACTGCCTTTGGTTCTCAACGTCACTTTCCACTTTCCTGCCCAAACTTGCTGTATGATGTCGTGGCATTGTTAGGTATGTAGTGCATGAGACTTCCATCGCACAGCTCAACATTCTGCTGTTTTTGATGAGAATATGTCTTTTCTCTAAAACTGCACTGCTGTCAATGGCTGCACACCTTAGAGGTATGGAGTACATGTCAGTTGCAATTTGGCACAGAGTATTTGGTGCCCAAATCATGCGCACATAAAATAAACCAGGCTTGTAGGTAGTCAGGGGACCGAGAACCAGGCCAAAAGAAAATATGTAATGCTGAGACTGTTTCTACAAACAGGCACGAGAGCGAGATTTGTGCATGCATGCATTGCTTGTGCTCTCCGAGACATGGTCTTGTCCCAAAAATGGCTTCTCCATTTTATTTGTTCCTGATGCATTCTTTGTAACTCAATTTCATGCAAAATGTCAAAATAAGGGATTTTATTGCCACTTTAATAAAAAATATCGCCAAGTGGCAATTTTAGTGCTATGCAGCACGACCCCTGAATTATATATATACTGTAATATACAGTGGTCCCTTGTATAACATACACCTCGAATAACGGACACTGCAAACAACGGACTTTCTGTTTGGCTGTTACGTGACTCGAGCAACGGACTGGCTGCAAACAATAGACTTTCCGTTCGACAGTTATGTGAGGTGAACAAGTGCGAATGATGTTTCCACTCTTTTGCCGTTGCCAATGACAATCTGATATTTTTATAATATATTAGTATTATTAGAATATATTATTAGTATATCTGAAGTACAGAGCTCACGTTGGGATTCAGCTTGCTCCCTTGTTTATTACGTACATCACCTCAGTGCAGGGTATTTACATTTATTCAAGTATTGTGCAAATCATGGCTTCTAAAAAAAACAGAAAGGTGATTTCAATTGAAACAATGCAAGAAATCATCAGAAGGAGTGAAAGTTGACAAAAACTTCCTTGTCAAATGGGGAGAGGTTCAGGAGTTTACCTACACTCATTATCCAAACAGAGCTGAGGACAACAGAATCAATGACACCGTTGCCCGTCATTTCTGACAGGTGTTGAAGAACAGAGAGAAACAGACCACCTTGGACATGTTTTTCAAGAAGCCAGCCGCCAAATAACAGAGGATGGAACAAGAGGAGTTGACCCTGCAAACTCCGGTAGCCTCTCCTGAATCTGACTCTGATTAAAAAACAATAAAAAGAGACCTGCTGCAATGTGTAAAAAGTGTGTGTCTATATGAATGTGTGAAGAAAGTGTTTCTCCGCTTCCTCCTCACGATATCTGACTACCCGGCATAATTGGTGACTGCTCCATTTTCATTTCTTTTATGGTACAGTACGGTTATTTTATGCTGCGGAACGAATTATATGTTTTAACATGTATTTCTATAGGAAAATGTTTCATATAACGGACTTTTCACTTAACGGACGTGCACCTGGAACGGATTAAGTACATTATATGAGGCACCACTGTATATCTTGTATTTTTTAAATAAATATATATATATATTTATCAATGCAATATAATAATATATACAATTACTGAATTTATTATTATATAAATTTATAATTAATTAGATTTATGATGCACAGTTTAAACAAATTCTGTTATGTATTGAATGCATCCTTAATATCAAAACTAAAATTTTTGATTTCTGACTTTTACATAAATGTACTGATACTTACCTAACTGATAGTAAAATTTCTTGGCTTTAATGAATTTTTGAACAGCCACATGAGACTTCTTTTGAGACAATCCAAGTAATATGTGTGGTTGCTTCAATTCATATTTCTAAAATTATAAACATGTATATATTTAAATTTTACTTAATGTAACAATATTTTAATAAACTAAGCATCATTAATTCATATATTCAATAAGTTATATTATACTGTAAATACTTATAAACATAAAAGTCTACTTATAACTTATATACTGGAATATTGTCAACAGGATTTGTTTAATCAACCAATGATATTTAATTTGAAAAATGTTCAGATTGACTAGGAAAACTTTACAAAATACAAAAAGTCTCTATTGATATCTGATAATTACTGCTTACATCTCAAAATATTTACAAATAGAAGACAAACACACATGAAAAATTATTTAAGGTCTTTCCATTTTTCCTGTCTTTTTTACACTACAGGAATAACAAAAGTATGTGATCAACCTTAATTATGACAGGTGAAAAAGAGCCTCAGAATAAATACTCCATCATATGGCTTTATTGTGGCTTTGGTATAAAAAGGGCAAATGAAAACCTTTCAAATATATTTTTTATTTGTCTTCAAGTTGTGAAAATTTCAAGTAAATTTTTGCCCAATTTATTTAATTATACTACAAATAATCATACTTTATCTTGCAAGTAATGAACTAAGATAACTTGCCTAAAACATCATTTTCTAGTTATCTCACATAAATCCTCTGAAATGGGCTACTCATTGACATACCCTTTATGCGAGTTAGTAGTGAGACAACTAGAAAACAATGTTTTAGGAGAGTTCTCACCAGAACTTGTCTTTTGTCATTTTTGTTCATTGCCAAAGTATTACATTGCACATGCTCTAAGATGAAAACTAATAAACAATGTACTGTACTGTACATTAGGCTTAGTGTTATTCTGTGGCTTTCTGTGCTTTTAGACTGGACTCGTCTGTTTTGATATGCATAGTAAAATGTTAATTCTTCAACTTTGACAGAGGAATTTATTACTTTTGTTAAGGAAAATATTGAAATGTTGATGGTAATCATAGCATTCATATTGAGAGAAAAACAAGGCAATTTCCATGCTTTGGTAAAGGAATTATGATTAAAAGATATCAAGAGTTTTAAAATATTTTTGTGCATCTCCAAATACTTTAGACCATTTATTAAGCTTTGTAGGGCCTCTTTCTTTGACACAAGCGATTAGCGGTTCCTCCATCTTGTTCAAAGAATTGTGAGAAGTTCATGTTGAATGGCCAATTCTGTTACAACAATCACAAATGTTGAATCTTGGCTAACTTTGGAACAGCAAATGACTAAGATGAAAAACCAATGATAACGACTAGTGTGAATGTTTTACAAAGACAAATGATAAAAGCATCAGTTTTTGTTGTTGCTGTTGGCAGTGTGAATGCAGCCTTAATTCAAGAAAATAACAAATCATAACCCAGTTTCTAATTATTTATAACATAATTTTGCAAACTATTTTCATTTTACTTTATCATTTTATAATTTCAAAAAATAAGTAACTTTTTCATCGTATTCTAGAAATAAGAACTATTATAATTTTCTATGATATATGTATATTTAGGTGATGCATTTTTGCTAATTGTAATTATAATATAGTTCAAATTTCTGGGTATATAACCTCAATTTACAACAAATTAATCAAAACTAATGGAAATACACCAGATTATTTTAATAATAAATTTCTAGAAACCAATTAGATCATAAAAGTAGAGGCTCTGATGCAGTTTCTTAATGAGTATAATTATAATTAGAATGAATCTGGAAAGTATTTTCTGAATATAAAAAAAAAAAACATTTTTTAATTGTTTCTAAATACATACTTTTTGTTTTCTTTTATATAATTTGTCACATTAACAAGCAATTTATATAAGATACCATTCAAAATATTTAAGACTTTCAGTGTGATTGATCAAATCTGCTTTATAATTTCATAAATGTAAATATCATAATGCTTATTAATAAATGCTATTTAACTGATATAAACATGTACACATACAAATTAAGAATGAAAAATAAAAAAACTTTTTTGGTTTTTTCTTTTTTCATTCTTAATTTAAAATGTTAATTTATTATGAAAACAGTAAGAGTTTTCTGAAGATGAGTAATTAAATCTCAAAAATTTCTAAACATTAAAAAATTGTTTATATATTATAGGGGAATCTGCTCCTGGCTCAATTTTGGCATTTCATGTTGCTTTGTAATACTCACCTTAATAATAATTTTTAAAATTTGAAAGATTGTACTTAAATTATTCAATTGCTCAGGCATTGTGCATTCTATGAAACACCAAGAGTCAACAAGCCTAATAGCTCACATAATACAGGAAATCCTTCTTAGTTCGAAATTCAAGAGATGAAATAATCATGACTTTGAATTATAGAGTTTCAAATTATTCAAGATTTACATATTTCTGCATAATATATCAAATGCAAAGTAATCAATGTAATTTATTAAGAAAATGCAATACAACTACTTATACAGAACACTATTTTTGTTAATTAACAATTAATAATAATAATATGAAGAAAGTAAACAGCAGGTAAGTAAACAGGTTGCTGTTTACTTACCTGCTGTTAGGTTGCTGTTTAATGCTGTTTACTTACCTGCAGTTTACTGCAGGTAAGTAAACAGCATGTGTCTGATGAGAATTTCACAGTTTGACATATAAATTTTTATGAAAATTAAAGCAGAATTTCTTGAAATATAGTCCAAATTATTTTTAAAGTGGCCCAAATGTAATAGCCTAGAAACTACATATATCTCAATTTGCTACATATAGACCAATCTTGCAATCTTGAAAACCAGCTGTATTTTATTACGTAAGAGAAAAAAAAGTAGTCCATGGGTAAGGTAATACCTGAAAATGTGTTATTGTAAAAACAAGGCTGGATTGACCAAATTAGGGTTGTTCTGGTCTATTGTTCTCTTATAGCATGGAGGCACTTTGATCTAATGAACAAGTTAATGTACGTCTATCACAGTTCAGAGAAAATTTTTATTTTAAATTTTGAAGTAGCTGTATTTCAACCTAACCAAATTCCTTAACATGTAAATCTCTATATCCCTGGCCGGGACAAAAGTACAGGAGCTAACAGGATTTCAAAGTGTCAGAGTTCAAATAAACAAGGATTTCCTGTATTTGATGATTTTGAAATTTTAAATTTTTCTGGTAACATGCTTGTAGATGGATATTTTTATTCTTTCTTGCACTCTTCTTTTACAGATTGATCAACAATACTATTTAAATTATATGAATAAACTCAAAAATTAATAAGTATGTTTACTTTTTATCATTTAAAATATCTTCAAAGGATCAAATGTAGAACAAAAACTGAACAAACTTTCAATTAAAATACATTAATTATGCAATACTTCTTAATGTAAAATTTATTATATATTATAATTAATTGACAATTTACAAACTTATCTAAACTGGTAAAAAGCAGAGCAAGTAAAGACTACAATTAGACAAAATTCTGATTTCATTCACTGTTAACGTTAAAAGGACATGTTAAAATAATTAAAAAAATATATAGCTACAAGACTTATAATTATAATTGTTATCAATTAATGCATAAATATTTTTTTCCTAATAATGAATCTCAAATATAACTTAACGTAAATAAAAGTGAAATACAGTGGGTGATCGGTTAACGAACACTTTCGCGAAAGATTTTTATGATCGGATAATGAACACTTTACTGAACAAACATAAAAAGAAGTGACGGAAAATAACAAATAACAATTGATTTTCCCTTGTCTTCGGGTAACAATTCAAAACCTTTCGGAGTGCAGGAGATGTCAACATCAATGCTCAACTCGATACCAAATGGATTGTATTCCTCCAAATTTTGAAACTCTCCCTTGTAATTTCAGCTTTTTGTTTACCTTTCTGACAAATAAGTTTTTATAGTCTTTGTGAGACTGTCAGACAGGCACTTTTAAATTTTGTGTTGGGGTTTATTTACGAAAGGTAAAAGTTTAACTGTCCCATCGGATATTCGTTAATGTTTTAATACCAAATTTCAAATTTCATCTGGGCCTTGCATTTAAATAATTTTTTGTGGGCTAGTCTGTTCTCTGAATTTTTATAAGTTTTTTCTGAATTTTTTATTTAAAAAAGAAACTGATAATATTATGAGCCTAAAAAGAGGAGTGTCAAGAACTGTGCTCACCGTAGAAACCAAGTAAGAGATAATATCCAAGGTAGAAAGTGGGCACAAGATGTCTGATGTTGCTAGGCAAGATGGCTTGAACAGGTTTACAGTAGGCACAATCTTAGCTATAAAAGATATATCAAGAAGTCTCAAGCTGCTAACGGAGTAATGAAAATCACATCTGAGAAATAAAGAGCATTTTATAGCTCATAATGGAACCTGAAACTGATCTGATGACAGAACTCCAAGAACTCTCAAATGAAGAATACTAAGAAACTCAGCGAAATGTGTTTTCTTTTGAAAAAGAGGAAGACGAAAGAAGACCAATGTTGACATCTGCTACTAAAGATCTTTTGAAGAAGTGGGATGTCAGAATAATGATCATCCAAGTGGCATCCAAACCAGAATAAGGTTAATGAGGTTGGGAATCTCTACAATTACAATACTATTAATTACTTGCGAAAAATCCAGAAAAAAAAAGCAATCGACATGGACAGATTCTTTAACCCCCACAAACGACTAATAAAAAATGCAAGACTGCATATATATGAATTTTTACTATTACATATAAATAAACATAGTAAAAAAGTATATATTTTTTATTTTTTGGAGTCTCTGGAATGAATTAATCAAATTCCCATGAAAACCTATGGTAAATCGATAATCGGTTAACAAAATTCAGATAACGAACAAAGTCTTGGAACGAATTATGTTTGTTAACCGATCACCCACTATAATTATCAAATATTCAGCATTTGAGATGAGAGGCATTTGTAATTTAAAACAAGCAATTATTTATTGTGACACCGTCACAATGCCAGGCTGAAATGCTTGATCATATTTTAATTTATTTAATTTAAAATATATGCTCTCCACCTCAAATTAGTAGAAGTTTGTTTTGTGAAAGCTTTTAATGTATTAGATTTGTTATTTGATGTCAATGTAAGTAGTCCATTTATGTTAAAAGTTTGCAACCTGATGTGATATGTTATCTCTTATGCATGATGTGGCATTTCTTATATGTCACCTGTGAGTTTTGTGTCTTTTAAGATATGCTTTCTATAATTTCATGTATTATATATGACCTAGTCTTGTATAGCAATCACAAACTTTTCCACTATGCTGTGATTGTGTAATGGGTTTGGTTTGTAGTTGTCTGCAGAAAAGTGCCTCATTGCTTGCAAATAATTTATTTTGTTGTTTTCATACATATGGTTTGTATCATTTCAGTCTTTCTGACTTGGTTGCTAGTTTTTCTTTTAGTGTGTCACTGTATTCCTGTATGTGTGTATTGTTATTCACACTTTGTGTGTGTTTTAATTTTCCAGAATATTTTCTTAATCTCTTTCATTAAGTTTGGTGTTATGTTGCTAGTTTATTGTGTCAGCCTGCCTAATTATTGTCTAATGTTATGTGTTTGTGTTTCTAGTCTTTGTCAAGTAGGCCTTTGATTGTGTCTGTGCAGGAAAGTAATTTTACAACCTATTATTTACATGCTGTCTTAGATGATGTGTTGCAGAGGGGATGATGACCTTGATAGGAGATTTATGACTCAATGATTGTTTGTTACTGTAGTGTCAATCAACATAGAAAATAGTGATCCAGAGTTTAGAAGGTATTTATAACAGGTAATTTTACAACTTATTGGCAGTAAAAATTCTCCCAAATGTGTACAACATAGAAGTATTCTTTTTACAGAAGTTTATTGGCTCTACAGGCTTCTGACAAGACATTTTGTGAGTTAAACAGTGTCAGTCAATGTAGGCAAAAGATAATCAGAGCCTAGAATACTTCCAATTGAACTATTAAACAGCAAATTAGAGGCTATCTCACTGGTGAGTTCTCCACATAAAAAGTTTCAAAACATCATAAAGATTCAAATTAATTATAAAAAATGAACAATGTATTCTTCAAAATGCTAGAAAATTTATTTATTTTACAAGCAAATGAAAATGTCAGTTGACAATTGATTTCCATCCCCCCATTTAACATTTATACCTACATTAAAAACAAAACCAACAGAACAACAATATTTACAAAAGAAAAATGATAATTGCAATATTATGATTAAATAAAATTATTTCATTTATAAGGAGAGAGAAAAAGATTTACCTTAATCAAATTAATCCAATTCCTTTTTAAAATATCATCTTCACGTTTTGACCAACATCCCATTCTTAATTCTATACCTGTAATATAAAAGTAAAGTTTAGAAATAAAATTTTTTATTGAAATAGAATTTAAAATATTAAAATAAATGAATGAATTTGGTATTTAATTCTTGAAAATATTTGGTATAAGAAGAAATTTAGAACAGTCTGTAAGTAAATGATGAATAACTCAGAGAATATTGCATCTGGTTATCATGGTACAACGTAAGTTCCTCTCTCAGACAGGTAGAAGCATATTTTTATCATACCTGATAAATTTAAAATTTGGTTTACTTTTAACTTTAACTTTTGTGATATTAATTAATAATACTAGTATTTACAGAAATTTGTAATTGTAAAATGTACTTATTTTATAGATGATCATCTACAAAATAAGCACATTTTACAATTACAAATTTCTACTTCAACTCACAGACTTCATACTGGAAGCTTTTTTTTGTTATATCTTTAAAGGTCTAGTTGCTATAGTTTGACCTTAGCTTCCATCAAGTCATTCCTGATCAGCAACTATCTGATCCAAAAGAGAACAACAATGCTTTCTCATATCCCCATTACTTTGCTCCTTTAGTCTTTTATCTGTTTTTTATCTAAAACAAAACTGAAATTAAGTGATACAAATTCCTATATTTGCAACAGAGTGAAAGTCTCAGCAAAGAAAGCCATTAATCTTCATTGTTGATAAATTAATGCAATGTGAAAAAAAGTAACAGATTTTAATTCAGGTTTTCTAAATAAACATTTATGTATTATTTAAACAAATTAATACTACATGAAATTTTAATATGTACAGATTTTATAGTAGTTGAAGTGTAATTGCTGTAAAAATGGTTCATTGGCAATCAAAATCCAAAGCCAGGATATCAAAACAAAAACCATCTACAGAAATAAACTACTTAAACTGATAAATTAAAGCAACATTGTACTCTCCAACATAACTTAATGTTAATATTAATGGACAAAACTGAAATTATTATAGTATAACTATAAAAGAAAATTTTGAAATATCAATTAAAGTGAAATGTTTGTGATAACTTTCTCCATTAATCTTATTCTTTGAATTTCTAGGCAAATTCTTAAATATTAAAACAAGCCTTTTAATAATTAAAAATTGTAATTTTTCTGTATTTGTTTCAAAATTTTAAAAAATTTCAAAAACTTATTATTTGACTCAAAAGGACACTGTCAACTGTTGCTGGTGAAAATAAAGTCAAGCTTTCTCTTAGAATTCATTATGTTAATTCATATTAATTTTTCTTACTTGTTTATCTCCACTATTTGGAAAAGTTCTGTACCTAACATAAAGTGCAGATTGCCAGCAAGCCAAATTTAAAGATCCAAACATTGGAAATGTTTGCTTCTTTTGACAAGAAAGAAGAGCAGATTTTTGATAATGATGTTTCATTGTTAGAATCTATTTTGAAAAAAATCTTTACAAAGTTTAATGGTTAGTGCAGAAAACATTGTTTTTCATTTGAACTCACTATACTCAGTTATTCATGAAACTAATTTTAAAGGAGAAGGAAAATGTCAGAAGAATAAAAAAATGATCTTTCTGAATTTGAGAAGTTATCTGTAATATCTCTTCCAATAAAAATGGTTATTTTTCTATCTTGACAGATCTCTTAACTAATTTCTCAAAACCAAATTATTTAATGATCTTTAATATTTCCATCCCATTCCATTGAATATAGTGAATCCAATGAAATGGGATAGATTGGATATAGTTATGATTTTCTGAAGAGATAATTAAACAATTAAAAACTCATTTGACTCCAGGCACAAATGGAGTTTTTCCATCTATCACAATGTAATTAATATCGTTTCAAAGAGGAAAAGGGGTGGTATGCCATACAGAATTATTTTTTTTGCCCGAAACTTTCCTACAATTTGCACATTAGACTGAGTCTCATCCAGTTCCAAAAGACTCAACAGAAACTGATTCTACGCAAATCTGATTCTAAAACTACCCTAATAGATGATGTTCTTTTAATTGATAACGTTATTCATAATTTATTTAACCAATGTAATAATTGAAATAATGATTTACCCATAGAACTAAGTCGTTCTTTTTGCTGTTTTGTTAGTGTAGATGGATATCCATTACCATGAAGGATTGGTGGTTCAAAATCAAGCTCCTCTTCTTCAAAATCATAAAAGTAATCCTATAAATAAAAATTTTTTAAATAAGTATTTTAAAGTTTATCTCTCTCATAGTACTTTTTAACAAAACATTCCACAATTCCAGAAATATTTTATATTGTTAATTAATAACAGATAATACTCTCGCTTTTCACTTGTGATATTTGATCCAATCTTCTTTTGTAAAACTTGGAGACAAATGAAGATTTATGATAGGATAATATACAAAGTTCTTTGAAGCAGATTTTAGTTATTACTCCAGGATAAAAAATAATATAAACAAACAGGATTTATGAAATTATTAATAAATATACATTTCAAAAATTTCTTACAATTAAATTTTTAAAATATACATATGTGTTGCTATGATTATCCTAAAATACTGCTGAATAAAGTTATTGTTTCTTTGATCATTATTTTAATTTTAATGTAATAACTTTAAATTTAAAAAGTAATAAAGCTTTTCCAATGGAATTATTTACTAATTACTTAGGGTTGCCAGACATTCCAGTTTTCCAGGATTGTCCTGATTTGGGATCCCTGAGGTTTTGGGATTGTCAAATATTCCAGTTTATTATTATAGTAGTAAAAAAAAATTCTGAAAATAGCAGTTTTTCACTTGTTTTACTATTAACTGTTAATTGTTACACTAAACCTAACTTAATGTACTATTATATGCAGTAACTACTGCAGATAATATTACATTAATAAAACTTTAGTTTGTTCAGTGCAATAGCTAGATGTCTGCTACTGTATTTTTTAAGCTGTCACTAGGTGCATCATTGCATTGAGAAGCCAGAAAGCCCTTACAGGATTTTTATCCCAGCAGAAAATATCTTTAAAATCAGCTTTTTTAAATTAATTTTTAAAAATTTTCCTTGTGCCACCTCCAAGTTGAACCATATAGATCCCCCTCTTGTCCCAGTTAAAATATTCACAAAATCTGGCAATTCCACAATTACTCTATTTGTTGGAGAATAAATCATCTGTTGACAATTAATCAGTGGATGAGTTAATTAGTACAATTAACAATTCTTCTTTAGGTGTCTTCTCCTGTCAGGAGGTTGGCAACCATTTCATGCCACCATGATCTATCTTGTGCTTCTCTTGAGCACTCTTCATACGTTAAGTATGTCCAATTCCTGATGTTGCTGAACCAGTTCTTTCTTGGCCTACCCCTACCTCTTTGCCCTTCAATCATTCCCTCTAGTAATAGTTTTTGTAGGCTGTTGTGTTGCATTACATGCCCTAGATGCCTCACTATTCTTTTCCTTACTACTTCCAGTAAGGTTCTTTTCTGATTTGCAATTGCCAGGATATCTTCATTTGTTCTTCTTGCCTTCCAAGAAATTCTCAGCATTCTCCGAATCATCGACATTTCAAATGCTTTTAATTTCTTTTCATTATTTGCATTCATTGTCCAACACTCTGCTCCATAAAACAGGGTCGACCAAACATAACATTTTGCCAACCTAATTCTTGTTTTTATACTAATCTCTCTTGAAGTCAGCACTTGTTTCACGTTTGTAAATGCAGTCCTTGCAATTCCAATCCTTCCAATTTCCTTATCACTCCTTCCATCATCTGTAATCATATGTCCCAGATAGACATAACTTTTGACCTGTTTACTGTTTCCGATTTTAATATTTACTCTTGGAGTTTCTTTCTCATTAGAAATGACCATAGTTTTGGTCTTTTTGCAATTCAGTGTTAGTCCGAGTTGATTGCTCAAGTTTGTAATTTCCTCTATCAGTATCATTAGATCTCCTTCATTTTCTGCCAATAGCACAGTGTCATCAGCATACCTAAGATTATTGAAATTTCTGCCCCCCTATGTTAACTCCTTTTAGATCTTTCACCTGACTGAAAATTCTTTCTGTATAATGATTGAACAAAATTGGAGACAGCACACAACCCGGCCTTACTCCTTTTTGAATTGGGAAGCTTTGCGAACATTCTTTGCCAATCCTTATTGTAGCTCTCTGTCCCCAGTATAAATTGGCAAGTAATCTGACATCCTTTCCATCCATACCATTTTCTACTAGACATCTAATAAGGTAATCATGTTTCACATTGTCAAATGCCTTTGTATAGTCTATAAAACAGAGAAAAATATTCTTCTGTTTTTCCCTATATCTTTCAATAATAGTTTTCAGGTTGAAAATACCTTCTCTTGTTCCTTTATTCTCCTGGAATCCACTTTGTGTTTCACTAATGCCTTCTGTCCATCTTCCCTTGTTTCTATTTAACAAGATATAAGTTAGAACCTTTGCCACATGACTAATTAGGCTTATGGTTCTAAACTCCTCACATTTAATTGCTTTTGATTTTTTGGGGATTGGAACAAATATTGACTGTTTGAAGTCTTCAGGAAGGTATCCCAGTTCATAGATGTCGTTACATAACTTAGTCAGGGTTTTGATTCCTCCATCATCTAGAGCTTTAATCCATTCTGGTTCTATATTGTCAGGTCCAGCAGCCTTACTGGGTTTAAGTTTACCAATGGCTTTTACAACTTCCCATTTGAGTATTGGAGGACCTTCTAACTCCCTGGGAGACTCGATCTTCTCCCTGTCGCCTTGGAATAATTCCTTTCCATACTCATACCACCTTTTCATTATTTCCTCTGTCTCCAAGACTATTTTCCCGTTTAAATCTCTTATACCATGTGCCTGAAAATTCCGTTTCTTAAAAGTTACTTCTCTGATTTTTTCATGGAGTTCTTTTATTTTATTTTCTTTGTCCAAACTTTCAATTTCTTCGCATTTTTTGTTAAGCCACTCTTCTTTGGCCTTTCTACACTCTCTTTTTATAGATCTTGCTAAATTCTTATAACCTGGTTTATTTTTCAAACTTTTCCTATTCTCCATCATTGTTAGAATTTCATCAGTCATCCAAGGCTTGCTAATTTTCCTACTGTACTCTGGGATGTTATTATTAGCAGCTCTACTTATACATTTCTTAAAGGCATTCCATGCTTCATTAATATCCTCTATTGATTGATTATATTCTTTAATTATTTTATTCTTATTGATCTCCCTATTGAATTCTTCATTAAATTTTATTTTTATGTTCTCTTCCTTTAGTGTTGCTGAATTTAACTTCTTTGATACAATCTTTTGCTTACAGGTTTTTAGTTTAATTTTTGCTTTCACTACAACTGGGTTATGGTCAGAATTAATATCTGCTCCAGGATATGACTTGGCTTGTTTTATAATATTCCTGAATCTTTCCTTTATCAAAATGAAGTCTATTTGATTCCTGCATATGTCCCCTGGACTTTTCCATGTATACACTCTTCTCACTGGATGTTTAAACAGAGTGTTGGTGATTATCAACTTATTTTCCTCACAAAACTGAAAGAGTGTATCTCCTCTTTTATTTCTCTTACCAAGTCCATGTTGGCCCATGCATTCTGATATTTTCTCATTGCCCACTTTTGTATTAAAATCGCCCATAACTATGATTATATCATTTGATTTTGCCATTTCCACAGATTCCTTCATATTTTTGTAGAATAACTCAACATCTTCTTCCTCATGTCCAGCTGTTGGAGCATAAACCTGGATTAGTAGAATGTCTAAAGGTTGAGCAGCTATCTTTACTGCAATGATTCTCTCATTGACTGCAGTGAAGCCTTTTATTGATCTTGCTGTACTATTCTTCATTATGATGGCTACTCCATTTACATGTGCCTCTGCTCCTGAGTACATCATTGTATATTCATTCTTGTAAAGCATTCCTGAACCTGTCCATCTTTTTTCGCAAATACCTATAACATCTAGCCTCATTGACTTTATTTCTTGAATGAGATTATCAAGTTTTCCCAGTTCATACAGTGTTCTAACATTCCAAGTTCCTATGTTAAGTAGTACATTCCTGGTCTTCAGTTTGGGAACTTCTGATAGCATCCTCCCAAGTGGGGTTAAGATGGCCTCTTCACATTCTCTAATATTAGAGCCAAACTTACTATTCTCAGGACACAACTCCTCTTCCCTGTAGCGTACATTAGAGATACAGTTCGCAGGGGACTTGACCTTGTCTCTATAACTAATTCTTTTAGCGGTAGCAGTTCTCATGGTTTACTATGGTGGAGGATACGTGGTGAGGCTCCAATCTCTACTCTCTACTCTTCTCTACTCTCTCTCTCTCGTTTATATGGAGATTGCAGCCTATTCGCTTTTTCTCCGACGTGCAGCGCCACCTTAGTTGTTAAAGCGACCCGTTCGATGAATATACTGTTCTAGAAGGTAGACGTGATACCTCGAGGACAGGGCTCCAATCTCTTCCACGGTGACTGGCCACATCTCACTTTGGATGCCAAGAATGTGCCCTTAGTATGTCACCTACTTTGCTGTCAGGCCCATTACACCATTGATCTTTGATAGTAGATTCATCTGGGAGGCCGCTAGGGGATTTTGTGTGTGTGTGTGTTCAAAATCGAGCTCCTCGATTTCTCGTGATTTCGATAGGTTAATCTGTTTCTAGTCCAGTTTTTTTGTGGTCATCTGGATAGAACTTGTGATTGTGACTCTTCTGATACCAAATTTGATAATATGGACCCAATATTTTTGGAAATATGAAGACATAAAGTTTACGTTTTTTTCGGACCGATTTTTCGTAATCCCTACGACCGTTTTTCCGGAATTGTGAACGGTGGAGGACAATACATCGAACGGTGAGTTAGATCTCCAATTTTTGTGCATTTTGGTCCACCCGTTTTTCAGTTTTTGGACTTTTTCGTTTGACATTCGGCGGCCCGCATCGGGCCTACATGTTGACATCCGTGAAAAATCTTAACCGTGTCCGGTAGTGGACCATAGGTGCTCCTTACTGAATAATTTTGGAATACTTAATTCAAATAGAATTTGAATGGCGACGAATTAAACTTTTGAAGACTTTTTCCACTTCTACTGCTAACGGTCTGATAACGGTAATAACGGTCGTCAACGGACTTGAATCGTTGCTGATCTGACGTCATCGCTTTCTTACTGATAGTTTTCTTTGTTTTCCGAAGATAAAACTTCTAAATTAGACAGAAATAATGGAAGACTTTCGCCAGGATGCCGAACGCATTATTCAGGAGACACAAAAATATATCACTGCTAATAAGGATGACCGACTGGGGACTGCACAACATAAGAAGTTTATAGTGAAACAACTTAACAGGATGATTGAATTAACTGAGGCTGCCGTCAAGAAAGCTTGCATAACAGAGATTCCAAACAATAAAATAAGGAATTTAGCGACTACAGACGATATCAAAGAAGCCCTGGAGATTTGTAATAAAAACATTCAAGAGGCTGTCCATAATACCAAGCAAGAAATCAGTGAATTGATTAAAAACAATATTATACAGAGTAAAAATGAAACTCCTGTTCCATCTGTTCCGTCATATAGTGCAATACTAACCAGAGGCTTGACAACAATTCAACCAAAGCCAAAACCATCACCACCTTCACCTACCTGTACAATACTGGTTTATAGTGAAAACGAGAACTTTACCTCTGAACAAACAAGAGCAACTTTGACCAAAAGTGTGGACCCAACAGCAGCTGGCGTAGGGATAAAAAAGATAAGAAAAATTAACCAGGGGGGAGTCGCAATTGATGTTTGCGATGATTCAGATGCTGAAGTTTTGGAATGTTTATTGGAGAAAGTCTCGGGACTCAAGGCTCGTAGAGGAAACCTACAACGACCTCTTATTAAGATCGTTTCGGTTCCTAAGTCTATCACTAAAGATGATCTTGAAAAACACATTTGTGAACAAAATTATTTGGCGCTTCGTGTTGAAAAAGATGAATTTCCAGATCATGTTAGAGTTAAATATGCATTAAAACAAAAAAACAGTGAATATCTTTCATGGATCATTGAGGTCACTCCAAGTATCAGAGAACGATTACTTAGGGAGGGAAAGATGTACATCAAGTGGAGTAGTTGTCCGGTGTTCGAATACATTCCAGTTAGACAGTGCTTCAAGTGTCTAGCTTTCGGACATTTTGCAAAGGAATGCCCGTCCCCAAAACGTGTCTGCAGTCATTGCCAAGGTGATCACTTGTTTAAGGACTGTATAGATTCAGTATCTTTACCACGTTGCACCAATTGTGTAAAAGAAAAACGTGAACAATTCCATCACAACGCTATGGACAAAGAATGCCCTAGTTATATAAGAGTTAAAAACCAATATTTACAGAAAGTCACATGTAAGGACTAATCTATGTATACTGTTTTTTCTGAACATACAGATCTATTTTGTATTTTACTCTTGTTAACGAGTCTAGCTTTCATGTTAGGCTTCTGCCAATTGGTACAGTATATAATGAGCTTTGTTTATAACTAATGCAGTATTCTAAAGTATTGCGTTATACTGTACATTCTGGTCTCTTCTCACGTACCTCATGTTTGTTTTGTATCGTATTGTCTATTTTTATGTATTTGATTTCATTGTGTTTCGGGAAATACTGTAATTTTCTCTTGTATCCCATTAACTGTGTCATCAGGTAATGCCAAACGCGGGGCCTGGTCTTGTACTTATTTTTGGTACAATAAAACATAATGAATGAATGAATGAATGAGTAGATTCATCTGCTGCAGTGGCCATTCCAGATTTCATGCACTATAGAGTGGCACACCCTAACTACCAGTAGCGGATGGCACTACTGATACCCTCACTTAGTTTAGCCCACCAGCCGAGGCGGTTTCCCAGGGTGTGGCCATTGGCATGCACTACCAACTACTTGGAGCCATAAGTGAGAGTTGGGTCCTCATGGGGAACAGTCTACGGTGTCCACTTTTTCAGTGTGGCTGACACTTTCAAAAGTTACTACCCCTCTAAGAACCCCATACACCCCACAATTAACAATTAGCAAACAATTAATCATTACATCTCTATCTATGACTGTGTGATTTGGTTGATAACTGCTTTATTTAAATCATTTGACTTACTTGAATATGGAAAGCTTTTCAGAAAGTTTTATAAGAATATTGTGTTTGCAAAGACAAAGATTTCAATTTGAAAATATTTGTGCTCTGATACTACTTAGTAGGATTTTACAAATATCTGAAATATGGATTAATCATTTATCGAAAAAATTTAAATGTTATTATTATAAATATCTATGAGTTATGTTTTAAAAAATTATATTATCTAAATATAACTTATAAACTACCTGATTATCATCATCATCATAATTGGAAAATATTTCATCACTCAAATGTTCAATATCAACTTTCTCAACTTGTCCTTCATTGGAAGACACAGAAGTCTTTGTATTTACATTGACATCACCTGTTTTTAATTTACTTCCTTTCTTTTTACTAGTCTTTTTATTTTTCTTATGTTTTTCCTTATGCCTCGTATCGTCTTTTTGTGATTTATTTTTCTTTTTGTGTTTCTTGTCTTTCTTCTTCTTTTTTGTACTTTTGGAACTACTGGTAGCTACCGCAGTATCAGCTTCCAAACTTGCTTCATTTGTAGCACTTTCTCTTATAATATCTAAATTTTCAGAATTTGGCCAAACTTCTTTATTAATTGCAGTCAGTTGTAAATCAGTTTTTACATTTTCTTTATTTAAATTAGAACAATCAAATTCAAACAACATATCATCAGATTTTTCCTTGTTCTTGTGCTTTTTCTTTTTCTTCTTTTCATTGCCTTCAACAGCATCATTATTTACATTTTTTAAATTTTCACTTTCAAAATTTTGTATTTTATTTTTATTTTCTCCATTGTCTTTTTTCTTCTTTTTAGATTTTTTAGCACCAGTTATTTCTATGACTGTATTTTCTGAATTTTGCTCTCTCATTTCATTCAAATTTGTTTCAATGTTTTTATTACTTTCCATAGTTTTTGATACAGAATCACTAATTTCACCTTTTCTTCCAGCCAAATCACTAGTAGTCAATACATCTTTATTTTTATGCTTCTTTTTCTTTTTTGATTTTGTCAAATTTCCTTCTATTGCCGAACCTTTGACTGTATTGTTTACTTCGCTAACATCTTTCGCACCATCACTTAAATCACCCATTTCCTGTTTCTTACATGATTTTGCTGGACTCAAATTTAAAATCGAACTGTCAATTATACTGTTTATATCGCCAATATCTTTCACACTTTCAACAGTTTTATCCGTCTTTTTTCTCTTTGATTTTGTCGGACTAGTTTTTGTAGATGAAGTCATTTCTAAGGTACTAACTTCACTGTTGTACTTTACATTTTCAATCACACTAACACCTACATCTTGTTCTAATTTTGTACTTGTGTCTGGAAGATTTTTCTCTTCATCACTGTCCTTGGCATTTTCAACTAAATTATCTTTATTTCTTTTCTTTGATTTTGATGGAGTTATTCTCGAAGTTGAATCGTGTAACTGATTATTTACATCATCTTCAACCCAGTGTTCTACATGTTTTCTTTTCTTTGATTTTTTTGGGCTAACTTCTGCAGAAGAATTTCCCCTTATCTCATTATCCTTTATAATTTCAGTAGAATTAGTAATTTTTTGATTATTTATATCATGATCTTTAACTGATTCAATGTACACTTGCTCTTCATAAACTGAATTTTCTTTGGTTTCCTTAAGTCCTTCTTGTAATATATCTTTATTTTTTTCGTGCTTTCTCTTCTTTTCCTTCTTCTTTTTCTTCTTCTGATTAGCTACTTCTTCCATATCTTATAAACATTCCAATCAATACATACACATAGAAATTTAAAAAATTAAAATTTAATTTTACTGTCGTAAATACTTCATTATCGTATTATAATAAAATCATTTAAAAAATGTCTCTTTAAAGAATAAAACTTAATCTTTTCCATTAAAAATCGACATTTACTGTTCATTTCCCGCAAAATAACACGATTTGAAACTAACGATTTTCTTTTCAGTGCTGCCAGGCAAAACAAATAGCCCAAATTCCGCCTGAAAGTTTTTTTAAAATTAAATTTTGATTAATTTGTAGTTTTTGCACCATAATATTACGTATGAAATAATTCTCGAAATATTTATAGTAAAATCATGCAAAAAATATAATAATAAACTGATTTCAAACTTGAAAGCAAATTGTAATTAATTATAGTATAATTACTGTATATAAAATGTGTAAAGAGTCTATTCACGATCGTTTATGAAGATTAGTTTTTATGTTTTGAATAAATAAACACTATTGCAATTTGTTTTTGACAATATTTCAAATTTGATTTTATCGGATATATATATATTTTTTTACTTTAATTTTCCATCACATTTTGTAAACGTTTTTCATCTTTCCTCCGATTACTCTGCTAAAATTTTATTTTATTTTATTTTATCGATAACAAAAATCACAATTGAATCTTTTAATTATGTTAAAGTATAGGAATTTATAATTTTAACAATTGGTTTTAATTCGTGAGACTTTGGCAAACGTTATCGGATCTAGCCCGCAAATGAATTTAACGCCAAAGAGAGATGAGAAACGTCTGAAATCCAAATAACAATGATAACTCTGATATCAGATTAGGATTCGAACCCAAATCCTTCATTCCGACAAGCTGCTGTGCCATTTGAATTTAAATAAAAAAATACTTGCAAATTAATAATTATTAATTCTTATTAATTCTAAACAATCAATTTATTTCATTTTATTCTTTTTTAAAAAAATTTCACTAATTTATTATATTTTTTTCAAAAAGTTTTTTTTTAAACTTTCATATTACCTTGGATTACATATAATAAAATTGCAAAAACAAACTATTATTAAATTGTTAATTAATAATGTGCCATTAAATTTAAAATTACATCATTTAATTTCTTTTATTCACTTTACAGCATGTTAAATTATCAATTTATAAATTGTTAAAAGACAATTAAGTACTAATCTGTGTGGTTAACTCATTAATGTTAAAGCGTTAACTCTTCTTAAGAATGGTAATAATTTTAGTGTAGGACGAATATTTCTTATGGAATGTTGCCAATTAGGCCAAGTGGTCAAGGAAACTGGAACTTTTTAATTAAATACGGAGCCATTGAACAAAAATTGGTTAAAATTCATTTTCAACGCGTTACATTTTAACGCATCTGACTTAATTTACAATTTTTTTTATACATTAAAGAACATATGAAAGATAATAAAATGACAAAGTAGACATAAATTTAAATAGTCAATTCTTCCAAATTTTTTATCACAAAAATGAATAAATGACTTTATTAGTTTTTGCTGATTGAAGCTTGCTTTCTTTTTTATTTNTTTCCATCCATACCATTTTCTACTAGACATCTAATAAGGTAATCATGTTTCACATTATCAAATGTCTTTGTATAGTCTATAAAACAGAGAAAAATATTCTTCTGTTTTTCCCTATATCTTTCAATAATAGTTTTCAGGTTGAAAATACCTTCTCTTGTTCCTTTATTCTCTTGGAAGCCACTTTGTGTTTCACTAATGCCTTCTGTCCATCTTCCCTTGTTTCTATTTAACAAGATATAAGTTAGAACCTTTGCCACATGACTAATTAGGCTTATGGTTCTAAACTCCTCACATTTAATTGCTTTTGATTTTTTGGGGATTGAAACAAATATTGACTGTTTGAAGTCTTCAGAAAGGTATCCCAGTTCATAGATGTCGTTACATAACTTAGCCAGGGTTTTGATGCCTCCATCATCTAGATCTTTAATCCATTCTGGTTCTATATTGTCTGGGCCAGCAGCCTTACTGGGTTTAAGTTTATCAATGGCTTTTACAACTTCTCATTTGAGTATTGAAGGGCCTTCTAACTCCCTGGGAGACTCGATCTTCTCCCTGTCGCCTTGGAATAATTCCTTTCCATATTCATACCACCTTTTCATTATTTCCTCTGTCTCCAAGACTATTCTCCCATTTAAATCTCTTATACCATGTGCCTGAGAATTCCGTTTTTTAAAAGTTACTTCTCTGATTTTTTCATGGAGTTCATTTATTTTATTTTCTTTGTCCAAACTTTCAATTTCTTCACATTTTTTGTTAAGCCACTCTTCTTTAGCCTTTCTACACTCTCTTTTTATAGATCTTGTTAAATTCTTATAACCTGGTTTATTTTTCAAACTTTTCCTATTCTCCATCATTGTTAGAATTTCATCAGTCATCCAAGGTTTGCTAATTTTCCTACTGTACTCTGGGATGTTATTAGCAGCTCTACTTATACATTCCTTAAAGGCATTCCATGCTTCATTAATATCCTCTATTGATTGATTATATTCTTTATTTATTTTATTGTTATAGATCTCCCTATTGAATTCTTCATTAAATTTTACTTTTATGTTTTCTTCCTTTAATGTTGCTCAATTTAACTTCTTTGATACTGCCTTTTGCTTACAGGTTTTTAGTTTGATTTTTGCTATCACTACAACTGGATTATGGTCAGAATTAATATCTGCTCCAGGATATGACTTGGCTTGTTTTATAATATTCCTGAATCTTTCCTTTATCAAAATGAAGTCTATTTGATTCCTGCATATGTCCCCTGGACTTTTCCATGTATACACTCTTCTTGCTGGATGTTTAAACAGGGTGTTGGTGATTATCAACTTATTTTCCTCACAAAACTGAAAGAGTGTATCTCCTCTTTTATTTCTCTTACCAAGTCCATGTTGGCCCATGCATTCTGATATTTTCTCATTGCCCACTTTTGTATTAAAATCGCCCATAACTATGATTATATCATTTGATTTTGCCATTTCCACAGATTCCTTCATATTTTTGTAGAATAACTCAACATCTTCTTCCTCATGTCCAGCTGTGGGAGCATAAACCTGGATTAGTAGAATGTCTAAAGGTTGAGCAGCTATCTTTACTGCAATGATTCTCTCATTGACTGCAGTGAAGCCTTTTATTGATCTTGCTGTACTATTCTTCATTATGATGGCTACTCCATTTACATGTGCCTCTGCTCCTGAGTACATCATTGTATATTCATTCTTGTAAAGCATTCCTGAACCTGTCCATCTTTTTTCGCAAATACCTATAACATCTAGCCTCATTGACTTTATTTCTTGAATGAGATTATCAAGTTTTCCCAGTTCATACAGTGTTCTAACATTCCAAGTTCCTATGTTAAGTAGTACATTCCTGGTCTTCAGTTTGGGAACTTCTGATAGCATCCTCCCAAGTGGGGTTAAGATGGCCTCTTCACATTCTCTAATATTAGAGCCAAACTTACTATTCTCAGGACACAACTCCTCTTCCCTGTAGCGTACATTAGAGATACAGTTCGCAGGGGACTTGACCTTGTCTCTATAACTAATTCTTTTAGCGGTAGCAGTTCTCATGGTTTACTATGGTGGAGGATACGTGGTGAGGCTCCAATCTCTACTCTCTACTCTACTCTACTCTCTCTCTCTCGTTTATATGGAGATTGCAGCCTATTCGCTTTTTCTCCGACGTGCAGCGCCACCTTAGTTGTTAAAGCGACCCGTTCGATGAATATACTGTTCTAGAAGGTAGACGTGATACCTCGAGGACAGGGCTCCAATCTCTTCCACGGTGACTGGCCACATCTCACTTTGGATGCCAAGAATGTGCCCTTAGTATGTCACCTACTTTGCTGTCAGGCCCATTACACCATTGATCTTTGATAGTAGATTCATCTGGGAGGCCGCTAGGGGATTTTGTGTGTGTGTGTGTTCAAATTCGAGCTCCTCGATTTCTCGTGATTTCGATAGGTTAATCTGTTTCTAGTCCAGTTTTTTCGTGGTCATCTGGATAGAACTTGTGATTGTGACTCTTCTGATACCAAATTTGATAATATGGACCCAATATTTTTGGAAATATGAAGACATAAAGTTTACGTTTTTTTCGGACCGATTTTTCGTAATCCCTACGACCGTTTTTCCGGAATTGTGAACGGTGGAGGACAATACATCGAACGGTGAGTTAGATCTCCAATTTTTGTGCATTTTGGTCCACCCGTTTTTCAGTTTTTGGACTTTTTCGTTTGACATTCGGCGGCCCGCATCGGGCCTACATGTTGACATCCGTGAAAAATCTTAACCGTGTCCGGTAGTGGACCATAGGTGCTCCTTACTGAATAATTTTGGAATACTTAATTCAAATAGAATTTGAATGGTGACGAATTAAACTTTTGAAGACTTTTTCCACTTCTACTGCTAACGGTCTGACAACGGTAATAACGGTCGTCAACGGACTTGAATCGTTGCTGATCTGACGTCATCGCTTTCTTACTGATAGTTTTCTTTGTTTTCCGAAGATAAAACTTCTAAATTAGACAGAAATAATGGAAGACTTTCGCCAGGATGCCGAACGCATTATTCAGGAGACACAAAAATATATCACTGCTAATAAGGATGACCGACTGGGGACTGCACAACATAAGAAG